CGCCTCTTCTAGGTGCGATGCCGGTTCCTCACCGCTTCCTGCAGCACCCAGGAGCACACGTGTGTTGCATGGTGGGCTGCTGAGCCGCACCTTGGCCAAAGGCTGGGTGTGCTGGGGCAGGGCTGGCTCCAGGTTTTTTTTGGGCTGTGCCCAGGCAGCTGGCTCTGCCCCAGGGCTGTGCCCAGTGCCACCTCCCCACCAGCTCACCGATGCCACTTACTGGGGCCAGGACCCCTCTGACCTGGGGAGCAGAGAGGGGACACCAGCAGAAGGGACAGGGTGGCAATGAGCAGCTCCTCCTCCCATCTGGCACGGCAGGATTTGGCCCAGCCACCCTGCTGCAGAGGAGGGACTTTGCCAGCTCTGCCCTTTCCGACGCTGACCCGCGAGAAGGGGATGCCTTTCTCTGTTTTAGTTTGCTAAAATCCCCGCTCTTGCTGTAGAAAGTGAGATCCTCTCTGCTGGGAGCAGGGAGGCTGGTCCTGCAAAGTACATGACTCCAGGGATGAAGAGGGTGCTCGGTGCCTCCTAGGAACAAGCTCTGTTTGTTCAGCACCTGTCCGGGCTGAGGAATGCTGTTCTGCAGTGAAAGTAGGGATCCTGACTTTCGGCCAGGCTGTTTGTTCTCTCTCTACAGCCCCTGAAGCTGCCAACAGGCAGAGGTGGGCCTGTTTTGTGCCCTGGATTTCTGCATCGTGTGCCCATTCCCCTCTCACACCCCTCCAGGTGTTTCCATCCCAGAGAGCTCTAGCAAGGGCTGTGCGCCCAGGAGGAGGCCACCAGCGAGCTGCCTGCGGCGAGCTGCTGCCAGAATAGGTGGTGGTGGGTGCAGCGTACCCCAGCCCAGCCCCTTGCTGCTCCCCCCTGCTGCTGCCGCAAACCCTGGCTGCGCGCAGGTCGAGGCGGTGTTGGTGGAAGCGCAGCCAGCTTGGTGAATGGCTGGGTATTGTTCAACAAAGGCACTAATTAGTCAAGGCTCATTACCGTTGTTGCCGTTCTGGCAGGGAGCTGCCGTGCTGCTCGGGCATGGAGCTGGCCGCTGCAGGGCTCCCCTGCTTTCCCAGGGCCCTTGGGGGGCCCGAAGCGAGGAGGGGTTGGCTTGGGTCCGGTGTGACACTTGTTACCCTCTCGGCTGATGGGATCGCCGTCCACTTCTCCCCGGGCTTGGAGGTTTCCCTGCACGTCCTCTCCGGGATGGGCAGTCGCGTGCGGAGTGCTGCAGTGTGGAGGGAGAGGAGATGAGCACGTTTGTCCTTCCCTGCCGAGCAGGACAGGACCTGGCGAGGCAAGGGGGGTAATCCCAGCTGACTCTGCTCCCTGTATGTCCGTCTGTCCGCCGGTGGGTCGGCA